TAATGTCCACAAATCATGACGGAAAAAATATTCTTGTGTTTAAAAAGGAATTGTAGGGGACCAGTCAAGGACCAGCCAAGGGTCCATCAAGGAAAGAGGGGACATTTTGAATGGCTATTACTGTAAAACAAATGTAAATGATTCATTTAAACATCTGCTTTATCAGTTTCAGCATTTTTTTTTTAATTAAACTCAATTTCAAAAAATGACGATTAAACAGCCATTATTGGAAAATACACTTTAACTTTTAGAAGGTCCTTCAGCAGCAACAACTATAAGAACTTTTCTGCAGATTGTTATTGGTCTCACACTTGGTTGTGGAGAAATTGTGGCTTCTTCATATTAACATGCAGAAAGGGGTTTGTGGCTTCTGTTAGGCAGCTCATCATACTTGTTTTGCAATTTCTTTGAACTAACCTTTAGGTGAATTTACTAAGCCACTCTCAGCCATCTACTAAAGACAAAAACTTTTATTTTCCTTGCTTGGAAATAATATTTGCCACGGTAAAATAATAGACTGGAATTATAGGGAAATTGCCTCATGACGAATCCCAGAATAATAGGCAGAAATAATTGTTTCTCTAAGGTCATTGCTGATGTGTTTCCTCTGCAGCTTAGCTGGAGACCATGCTCTAATGTGTTTAAATGCAGGGCACAGTGAAATGTTTCAAATGGATGCTGCAACAATCATTTTAAAGACTGCCCCAGAAAAATCAATAGATAATGAATTCCTGCAGTAGTCTTTATCAAAGAAATAAGCTATGTGAAAACTAAAGGCTGTGGAAATTGCTGTTGTTCGGCACATATTTAATTTCAGCACTATATGATTTCCATGGTTTTAAATTGTGTATTTGTCAATTTTATAACAGGAGGGACATATTATTGCACCTTTACGTTAACATTGACCTGCTTGAATGTGATGGGCCTTCAGGTTTCACGAACAACAAATTAAGATTACTCTAAAGAAGCGTTTTTACTTCCTTTTTTAGTATCTGGTCTTCTGTCTTTCACAACATGTACAGTAGCTCTAGCAAACCGTGTCAAATAAAGACTTTCTGGTAGTATAGTATTTTTAATAATAACACTCTTTAAATGTTCATTTCAAGGTGTCATCTGCCAGGCTCAAGATACAAAAAGTCCTTTTAATAAGTGAAGAAAGCGCAGCATTCATAAAGTATTAATAGATTCCTCCAATGGAAAGTGATGAGAAGAGAAACATAGCTGCCCATTCTTCCCCAATTTTAAGCTGTTGAGAACTGCAGCAGCCTGCTTTGCCACCTCTGTCCTAGACCAAGCTTGCCTCTACTACCTGAACTCTATCCAAGAACCTTGCAGCAGCCTCCCTGAAGAAAACAACAAGTAAAACCTTTGTTTTGTTTTTTTTTCTACTTAACTGCTTATTTGCTTACTTAGAGGTATAGTGGAGGGTCCTGTTTTTCCAGGTGGATCATCAAAATAAGTGGTCCTTATGTCAATCATTCTGGTGATATGCTTACGTAAGGCCATACTACGTGCTCGTCCACATTTATTGCAAATCTTCTTTTGGAAAGTAAGCTTGTAAGACCAATGCAAAGCTCCACTTTTAAACAGTGTGCATGTGGAGGAATGGGCTTGTGCAATGCTCTTACATGCATTTAATAGACGTTCCCTCTCGGAAGCAGGTAAAGGGTTGTGCAGGTGCATCTTTTTGTAAAAGTGGAGAGGTCTTTTCAAAAATTTGCCAAAATCCTCCACTATAACTTTACTTGTTTAACCAGTGGTGGCATGCCAATAGAGGACGCTAGTGCGCTGCACCACCTACCCAATGAGCCTGATTAAGACATAAAAAAATAATAATAATTTAACTTTAAATTAAAATTTAAAATGTTTATAAATATATCCATATACATTTTTTTAGATGTGAAAGATAAATATCTAATCTTTAATGACGAGTAAAGTGTCATTTAATTTTTCATCAGATTGGTGATGCATTTTCCGTCCTGGGGTAAAGGAATGTTTACCCATTGACTCTCATTAAAAGTTGTACATGTGCAGTAGCTCCTCTACAATACAAACGGATATGACGGCCCAGGGCGCAACCACCTCCTGCCACAGTAAAGACGTTTTGCAGGTGATTGAAAGGTCGGGTCTGGGAGTTGGAGACGCATTGAAGGGAGAGAGAGAGAGAGAGAAATGGCGCAAGAAACGTCCTTTTCAAGGACCTGGTTTAGCAAGAAGACTGGGTTAACTGCAGCCCGGCTAACGCTTTATTCTGCTTTCCCAGCATCTTTTTTCAAATGTCAGGATCTGACCCAGCCTGCATAAAGACAGGTACGACTGATTCAAAGCACTTTTTTGAAAAGGCAAAGAAGCATGAACAATCTGGGATTCACGTAGAAAACAATATACTGTACTATAGTGTTCTATTCTAGATGTTTGTTGTTTTGCATAGTTACTCATAATCAAACACACTCTCAGAAAGTATTATATATATTTCCCAAAAAAATATGAAGCTAACTAATAGCTTCTCCCTTATTAAACTGGTACATTATTTATTTTTTTGGTTTGTGACACAATATTGGACCATGCAAAACACAGATTTGACTTCACAAATCCTCAGAAGGGCAAAATTTATGTACAAAAAGTAAACCTGTACATGAAAGTATGTGGTGTTGTTTTTACTGTAAGTGTTTTTATTTTTTGTTGTTGGCATTCATATAAATAAATTGGTGTGATAACTTGGTATACATTTGATTGTTTTTTGGTATACGTCTATTTTGAACTTATAGGCCACCCTGGAGAAACTCCACCAGCTGCTGCTGTGTTTAACATGTCTAAGAACTGCTGCTATCTAGATTCTTAATTTTTGAAGATTTTTCTTTGTTTTGGGTTTCTTCTTTGGGGTAATTTAGTGTGTTCTAGTAGTATTATTAGCAGACCAATTGCTTGTGGGTGTAGCAGTGGTGCAGGGGTTAAGTGCATAACCCGTTTTCAGAGGTTAAAAATGGTTAAACTGTTTGCCGATCCCTGAAAAACTATACATGAGCTTTAAGTTAATACTTTGCTTCTTTATAATCCAAGGCTTGAAGTTGATCTCTCAAGGGACTGTGTGTTTTCTTTATGTGCCCATGTTTTAAACAGCGACATGTGTCACTGTTAGAATTTATGGCGGATACAGAAGCAGAAGGAGGAAGCGAACCGTGAAAACAGAAGTTGACACCAGGCTGACCTTAACTGAACCTCCAAAGGACTGACAACATTTTCAGCCTCATAAACCCAAACAAGGTACTCAAGGCCAAGAGGGCGACCTGCCTGTCTTGATTTCCTTTGAGAGCAGTGCTCGTCACTACTGGCTTTCTGCTCGTCAGTTATTTGGCTCTTAATACAGACATGGATTGCTGTCTTTTCAGTAACAGGCAAATGATTGCATTTTGTTTCAGCACTGCAGGAAAAAGTGATTCAGGCACACAGTTTGCAAAGAAATAAAAAGGAACAGAACAGCATCATGGAGGAGATAAAACACTCCATATAACCAAAGCATTGATATGTCACTAGGTCTGCATTAGCTTTTTATCAAGGAGTTATATAAATCATTTAAAACATGTCCTCCTTACATTCAATGGTCGATTGTCTTCCTATAAAATAAACAATAAATCCTTAATCTAAAATGATATACTGTAGTGGTGGCCACCTAAATGATTGGAAATGTCACTACTTCGTTATGTGTCTAAGCAATTTTTTTTTTTTTTTGCCTTGCCTAATATATTTTTAATAACGATTACAACTTACACATTACAATTTAACACAGTGAAAGTACTCTTGTATAATGCCAAGCCAAAGTATTTATTAAAGTATTGCAACTGTAAAGTGCAAATATTTCAGATTTACAGTTCCTTTGAGGTATGCCTCTACCTTTAGCATCCTGAGGCTGAAACTCTTATATCTTCTTATCAAAATAACTGTAGCTCGGTCTGATTGGTAAAATGTGTCTGAATAGCTGGATTATCGTTTTTTATTGTCTTCATCTTGATAAATCTAACAACGAATATGGGTACAGTATAATCAATGACCAACCTTTTACCCAGTAGCTCGTTATGCAGCTGCCACCACCATGTTTCATAATGGGCAAATTAAAATATACAATATTAATCATATACTGTAGTACTTTCATGTTTGACAAAATAGTTGTTATCCAAGTGAAAAAGATTTTTCTAAACATGTGCATAGTCATCTGTATGAATAATGGAAATAAAACTTTCTTAGGGCTTTATTTCAGCAATGGCAAACAGTTGAGACAGATGTAAGTTTTTCCTGTGAACAAGTTCCTCCCTATTGAGATGCATCATTAGCTCCAGAGGTAACATGGGTCATTTGACTGCTTTTTTAAATGGTGCTGTTGCCTCTTTTTAGTTCAGATTGATGAGGAGTTTTGCAAAACTACGTCAGTATAATGTGATGGATTAAACAGGCCTCTGTGAGATGTTCAAGGCTCAGGCTGTTTTATTTCCGAACACTTTAAACCTTCACAGAATTTAACTGCCATCTGTCTTCATTGTGATGTTTATTCACTGATGTTCCCAAATAAAACTCTGAGGCCTTAATGGAACAGCTGAATTTATACTGCCAGTAATTTACACACAGGCCTATGTGTCTAAGCATTCATAGGCTTTATTTGTAGTCAAGCTTGTACTAGATTTTTGTATTCATATTTTATTCAACCTATATTTTATCAGGAGAGTTCAGTTAAAATAAAAAAAAAAAAATTCAATGAGTCCTTGGCATTATATCAAGGTGCATTAGAGTAAGTGTGATCAAATTATTTTTATCTCTGGAGAAGAAAAAAAAAACAACCTCTTTTCCTTCCCGTTTTAAAACTATGTCAACATTTTTGTTGGACTTTTAGAAGAATCAAATAAACAACAGGGAAGACTTCAGTATAAACACAAAGTATGAAATAGGCATGAATACTAGCAGTAATGCAGTACATCTCTATAAAATAAAAAAAATGAAATAAAATGTACCTTTGGCAACAGCGCGAAGCTTCTTCAGCAGTTTGACATGAGACTCTGGTTTTATGATGGTCGTCACATAAGGCTCACAGCCTGCAGCATCTATTAAGGTGTAGTAGTAGAGCAGGCGGCCCAAGTCGCTTCCCTCCACCGTTGGTAGAACATATTTGGTCATGTGGCTGTAAAAGGCCTCCGGGTCGCATTTCAAGGTGTCAAATAGTTTAAGGGAGTTACTCCGATTTTCAATCTCTTCAGTGGAAAGACTTAAAAAGAAAGAAAGACAAGGAAAGTTAATCAGGTGGCACGCAAATCAATAGCATGTTGGAACCAGATAGGCACACCTTTTATTTTCACTTAGAATTATTAAATTTTTCTTTTAATTTACCAGATAAACGATCAATTCAACAGTTATTATACGTTAAGATTGGTTAATTGTCCAACAGTGTGTTAAAGTCCCAACAAGTGACGTCTTTATAAGCTTACATAGATTCATTTCCAGTATTTAAGCAAAAATATGTAAGTCCTGTGAGTACCTTTGAGGTAACATCTTAAATTCACTGAATCAAAGAAAAAACAGTCAGCCTCGACATCAGGGAGGGAACTGTAGACGTCCTGGTGTTCAATATTCTGACGTAAAGGGAACCTTTAATTTCTTAGAACAATTATTAGTGTCTAAAAACAATAGGAATTTTCAGGCAATTATACTGCTCTAGAAGATGCTGCTTTTTGGTGAGAAAGTCAAAATGGTGAGAACATATACCAATGAACTTGTAAACAACCTGACTAAGGCTGGTAGAGCATCGTTATCAATGGTAAAACAAGTTATGTACCATCATGGCCTGAAAGGCCAATCAGATGAAGAAGCCATTACTCAAAAAGCTACATAAAAAGCCAAGTTACATCTTTGAAATACATTTACAAACAAGAAACTTAATTTTTCATGTATCAACTTAATTCTGCAAACTCTAGAAAGGTTGTGGAGGGTTATCCAGAATATCTGACTCAAATCAATAGTTCTACCAATTATTAGGATAATTAATGTAATAAACTTCTGAATTTGAAGAAAACGGAGATAAAATAAAAAAGAAAACTCATTTTGGCATTTAGGAAATGGAGATCACTTATCCAGCTAAGCTAAAATAGGAATAACTGCTCTGATCAATGTATCGTACTAAAACGTCTGTTTTTGTACATGCATTTAAAATGTGCTTTATACTGAATATATTTGACACAGATATAACTTAATAACTAAAAAAAGTATATTAAATTTCAAGCAATTCTTAAAATCCGCTGAGAAGACAAATTATTCTTTTGCAGCCTCAAACTAAATGTTTTTCCTTTATTCAACAAGATGAACACAGTGGGAAACATAAAACACAGCAGAGGAAAAAAGGTTTTATCAGCAGTAAAATCAAATGAGAACATTCAGCTCTAAAGTTTGTGTTTTACAAGGTAATTTAAAAAAGAAAAACGACACGTCTGTGAAATCATCAAAACAATCATAAGCTACAAAAAAGTGAAAACTGTCAATGAACCTACGAATCTAAAAAAAAAAAAAAAAAGATAGACCTATGTAAAGTAGATAAAACAAATATCTTAAAGGGCAGAGGAAGAAAATAGAGCTAAGGATGTATTCAAGGTTTAGATGATTGTACAAATCTGGGTGGAAATCTCCTAATGATTTGCCCAAGCTAAACATGAGTATGTGTTTCCAAAGAACAAAAAGTCAACAGCAGCAAGTGGTCCAAAGCATGAGAACAAAAGTAAAATGAAGTGAAGCAGAACAGCAGAAAGAAATGGAGAAAAAACCCCAGAGACATGCAATTAAAGTCAAACAAGAAGCGCTACAAAGATTAAAAAGGCAAGGGTGATGTAAAGCTACTCGCTGGTGGTCTCGGAGGGGCTTCCAGCAATCTGCGGCTGTCTGGAAGCGTGTTCGTAAGAGTGGAGCTCTGTTTATCTGTCAGAATGAGACAACATCAAAGTGGACAATGCTTCCCCAGGGTTCTCTGTCGCACTTAGCTGGGAGGCTTCTGCTAATGAAAAAATTAAATAGAGAACAGCAGCTGACAATAGGCTCAATAATGTAAATAACACTAATCATGTTCACCGCAGGAGCTCTAATACGGCTGCAATCATCCAAACTAATACAAAAGGAAGCACGCCCAGCTTAGTGAGTGCTCTGTCTCTCTCACACTGACAGGCAGCCAATCAGGATTGTTTTATTGGTTAGTCATAATACCTCCAAAGAGAAGGAGAATCATGTAGAGAAACAATAAGAACTGAAATGAGCCTTTAGTGAGGTACAGTAAGATGTTATGAGCTTTGATGAAGACATTCCTTTTCTTAAGTTTGAAACATTTCTTTTGGGGTTTTATTTTCTTCTCTGATTTTTAGCAATCTTTGTGGTAAAAATATTTCTCTCTGATAGCTTCATTACTAGTCTCTGCCACACTGGCTTTGCCGCCGCCGCCGCTTCCTTGTCTGTAGCTCTCTAAGGACGCAATAGAATTTCCCCACTTTATCTTTGTGGTACTTCTGTGGCTGTAATATCAGATGCTTGTTATTACAATCTTCTCCTGTTTGTTTCAAAAGTCAGCCAGAACAAGGAGCCACTTTAATCTGATTTGATCTCTGCGCTGCTCTTTGCAGCTCTAATCTCCTGGCTCGTCCCAGCCCCGCATTAACATGTTTGCTTCAGATGTGATGCATGAGATAACAAACAGAAAGCGATTGCTAATGTTCGCAAATTGTGAGGCATATTCAATAGAAGAGGCAATCAGACATTGCAGATTAAACTGTAGGGAGGCTTTGGAAGAGAAGTGATTGCTATTAAGCATGGCATTATTGGAAGGGGTGCAATCTGTGAGCCTAGAATGCTTAAAAAGTTTAAAGTAGCATGTTGTTCTTTAAAGCTGTTTGAAAAAACTATAAAAACATTTTCTTTTAAACAACTTAAATTATATTTAACTAACGGTGTCTAAATACTGTACATGCAGCTGTGACTCAAAAAGATCTGTTTTGTACTGAACTTGTACAATATACAATTGTCAACCCAACATGAAAGTAGCTAAAACTGAACATCGTTTTCCAAATGTTTCTGGTTTTATCAGATTGATTGGACATAATAGCGATTAGAAATGAGCAGAGGGGATACATTTTACAAAACCCAGACATTTGTTTTGAGGCTCTGATCAAAGTTTTCTAAGCTCTAATATATCCTCTGCATACATAACACTTAGAGTCTGCTGAGAATGTTAGATATTTCAGTTTTTGATAAATACAATTACCCAAGAAGGTCATATGAATGTAAGCAGGTATAAATAACATAAGTAGAGGATTTAAAAACGGAATTAATTAACCCAGCTTAGAAGTTACATGACAGCTAATGAAAATCTCGTCATCCTGCCCAGATAAAAGCCGCATCAAAAAAAACAAAAAAAAAAAAAAAACATGGAATGATGTGAAGAGGAAGCAGAATGAACTTTTCTCTCAGGAGCTCATCTACGACTCAGATTCAGGGTGTTGGATTAGTATTGATTCTTTTATTTTTTTCCATTTATCCTCTTAAAGGTATAGTGGAGGATTTATTTATTTTTTTCCGGGGGGGGATCATGTATATAATTGGTCCTCCTAATTGTCAATCATTCTGGTGATATGTTTACGTAAGGCTGTCCTACGTGCTCATCCACATTTTCACTTTCAGGAGTATGTCCTTGGTGAGCTACGGTTTCGGACAGTCATTGAAACTCACCTTTCTCACACTGTGTTTTTTAAAATGGCCAAGGGTCATAAAAGAAAAAGTGTCTACGAAGTGTATGAGAAGAAAAGAGAGGCCTCAAAAGAGGCAGATATATCCTGGAAAGCTTTATGCGGAGAGCTCTCCTCACAAAGCGTTATTTGATTTGCAGTTGCAGTGGTCTGCTGTCGCTACCTGACAGCGGCGACTAATAACAAAGATAGGGCAGGCAGCGCGCAGTGGAGCAGCACTTACGTGAATAACGGGGAGCAAAAAGCACTGGTCATCCGTCCGAACGGTAAGTTAACTAAGTTCGATATAAAGTCCATTATACAGTCCCTGCTCTATATACTGCAGTGATTGAGGGATTTAGGGGTTAGGGTGGAATTTTCGGGTACAGAAAGCTTGTACGAGCTATGAGAACAGCAACTTTTAAACAGAGCGTGAGCGAGGAGAGATGGGCTGCTGCATGGTCTCACATGCGTTTAATAGGCGTCCCCTCTCAGGAGCAGGTACAGGGTTGTGCATGTGCATTGCTTTTGAAAGTGGAGAGTGCGGGTCGTTTAAAATATGTGCGAAAATCCTCCAAAATAACTTTAATCAGATTAAGTTTCTGTCCTTACAGCGTTTTGAAGGGTCTGAATGTGTCTTTACTTACTAAAGGTCAGAGTATATTTATTGCAAAAATATTATGGTATAAACAGTGATTGGATGACTCTTTGAGAGGCAAAGAGACAAAAGAGGAACCCTATGCATAAACACACCAGGTTCTTTCTGCATATATTCAGACTTCAATTTTTATCTTTTTTTACGTGGCCTGGACTCTGTGCAAAAAGACAACATAGTTTCATCAGACAAGTATTAATTTTCACAGTATTGCCAATAATAAATGGAATTTTTTTGTCAAGCCACACTGCAGGAATCTTGCCTTTAGGTACGCTTCAGGCTCAGACATTGCAGAACAAACCAGCAGAGGTGGACAGCTCCATAAGAGCTGCTAAAAATGAACATAATTACACGAGTCGACAGGAGACATGATAAAGCACCTTCTCACATAAATAGATGCCTATTTACAAGTCCAGTAGCCTTAAACTCATGCAACCTAAGGCATAAACATTTGCCTTTTGTTTGAATATTTTAATTACACATATTAATAAGATGTATTCTAACAGTCACTGTGTTTGGAGGAAGAAGAAGGATAAGTACAACCCCAAAAAGGCCATTCCAACAGTGAAGCATAAAAATGGAGACATAATTTTTTGTAGATCCTTATCTGCAAAAGGGTAAGGAGGACTGCAGCGGATTGAGGGGAAGATGAATGGGGCCATCGGGAGATCTTAGCCAACAACCTCCTTCCTTCAGTAAGGAATGTAAGACGGGTCATGGCTGGGTCTTCCATCAGGACAACGAACCAAAGCTCTCAACCAGGGCGACTAAAGCCCTGAACACAGCAAATCCTATTTTATATCCGATTCGACAAAAAAAATCGTGTTGGACGAGGTTATGGTGTCGAGCAAGCATAAAATTCAATGGGGCTGTTCAAAACCAACACATTGGTCTTCAAGGGGTCTTGCAAAGCTCCAACTGAGGGGTGGATGACCCGGGCCCGATGTATACACTAACTGAGGTTGAATGATTAAAAAACCAAAAAGAACACAGCTGAGATACCTGTAATATATTTGATTCCCATTCTTTTTCCAACTGAGGGTCATAATAATGTTTCTGAGAGCCACATAAAGAATCTATACATTAAGGATGAAGATGGGGATTATAACGAGAAGCTTTTCCATCCTCAAAGACTTACTGCTCATAATCAAACAGAATTCATGCAAAAAATGCTTTTCAACAATTTTAACTTGGATTTAGTTGCTGGATCTCCTCTTTATTAATTTAAAAGGTTTTGAATATTTTTTTAAGTACAATTTAGAGTTGCATTAATACAAATAAGATAAAATGTTTTGTTGTTGAATGAAACCAATTTAAAATATCGTCTTCAAGGAGTATCAGTAATCTTTGGCCTTACTGCACTGGTACAGTAGCTACATAAATCGCACATAATGGAACAGGTTAAGCTTTAGCTTCCTCAGCTCTTACCAAATTATTAAAATATGCGGGGAAAAAATATATAAAACTCAGCTTCAGTTATTTTTTATGGCTAGGGCATCAGCCTCCAGTTATAGATACATTTAAAGCCTAAGGTCTGTGCTGCCTGCAAACACGCATGCAACAAAAATCCCTTTGAGAGATACTTTCTTTTCTCTATTTAAAATTCCCAAATTTGCGCTCAGAAAACACATTCAATATTCACCCTGAACAGTGCTTTGAGATGCTCACCTCATTTTTGTCATGTAAAACAGTCCATTCATGAGTTTCATTCATGGATTTAACATTTGCTGCTTTTTTAGGAAATCTGAGCACACAGATATGTTCTGTTTGAGAGCAAGCAGTAAATATTTTTTTCATAAACGTCAGCTAAAACTTTAATTACAACAAGATTTGAAATGATCATTAAAGTAAGATGCAACTATCTATTTTCCGAAGGAAGAAAGAGATTAAAAAACAAACTCAAGGCAACACCTACAGTACATTGCAGAAGGACCTATTTTACTACAAATTAATGTGAACATCTGAGCAAAGCAGTGGTCTGCAACCTGCAGCTCTAGAGCAACAGATGGATCTGCTCCCATAATGGCTATTTTAAACTCAGGCCAAAACTAATGCAGAACCCACAAACGTTTTTAAATGTAGTCATAAAAACAGCCATAGAATTTAGTAGCTTTTTGGTTTATTTTAATTAAATATTTGTATCGACTTTCCACAACAGAATAATAAAAAAATACCAGTTTAATTTATTTGCTATTACAGTAGGTTGAAATCTGGTGGGGGATTTTAAACATTATTTTTCACAAAAAAACCCTGATAGGATAAAACACATCTATTTCATTTAGCAAAAGTCTTATGTTTTTCTTTATTTTAAAAGCTAAAAACAGAAATAAATTATCTTTATTTTAATGCTTTAATGAAAGTTAAACTTTAATTACAAGATCATGTAAAATTTGCTAAGGGCAAACTCAGCTCTATGTATTGTAAATGTTGCATCTTTAGGGCTAAACAGAATATGCCGTTTCTTCTAATGTAGGTGTATTCATTACTAAGGCATTCATTAAACTTTGTGAGATTTCTTCAACAAGTTCAAAATGTAGTTATTTGCCCCAAACAGCAGTCTGATTTAGTAATAAATCAGACAAAATTAGGACTCACAACATTTTTTTTTAAATAGAATATAAAATCCATTTATTATCTCACAATGGGAATATTCTAGTGTTTACAGCAGCAAAAAAATTATAGAAAATAAAAATGGTCACACAAATATACAAGAATAACAGAATAGTGAATAGTTAAAAGATAATAAAATATTGCATTGTAATGTGTTTTAACAATATATAAAAAACTGCACCTGGAGAATAAATGACCAATATACAGCTATGGACATTTTTACAGTAATGGAAATGTGAAATTTTCCATTTTCAAATAGCCATTAGCATTTTTCTGCCTTAAAGATCCAAGCAATCTTGATATAAACTGGGAGTAAATTCAAGTCTGGCAAACAAATGCTTGTTGCTCTACTAAAAGAGCCACAATTAACCAAAATTAAGGCCTTAGAGTTCAACTTTAACTCAATCAACTGTAACTGGTGGCAGCCCTTTAACAAGGCGAATGAGTGAAACACAAAGATTTTATTTCCCTTAAGAGATCAATAAAAGTCTAATTCAATTTTGTACTCCAGCCTCACCCTACACACGTACGTCTTTGCTCTTTAAATTCTCCAAACTGCAGTATTTATACCATTTCCTTCTTCCATCCATCCGTTAAATCAATAGGCATACTGCAGATGCGTCTAGTTCTGATTATAGCATGCATATCCTTCATAGATTTGTCATGATCTTCAGGTTTGGTGGAAGGTGCATGTTGTAATTTATTGTTAGATGGAGTCCATAAAGCATTACCCTATATCAGAACGTGACATGTGGGAATTTATCACAGGCACACACACGTTTACCTCCAAACACGAACAACCCTCACACTCTGCTGAAAAGGCATTCTATAAAAACAAGGAAGGGTGCAGTGCTAGTCAGACAAAGTAGCTATTAAGTGAGGCAATTTCAACTTGAGTGAGGTTCTGGTAGGGTTTATTTATTTATTTTTTTTTTTACATTAAAGACAAAGCAGCGGGGCTGTCAACCAATAAGCTACAGATACATATTTATGAACTATTAATTGTAATTGTAGATAATTATTTTTCTTTACAACTATAAGATCAGAATTTTTTTTTCCAACATTTATGACATTTCTTTAATATATCAAGGTGTCTGCAACTGGATGACGCATTTATAGAGCAAAAATATTAGAACTGATCAGTTTCTTTTACAAATAATAAACCAAAATAACACAAAAACTTCAAAACTGTCAGTGTACAAGCTTCCTACCATGACAGCTGGTCAATTGGGCAATTCAACAATAATTACAAAGTAAAAGTAGAGAAGCAGAAAATAAAGGATTATAAGACGGTAGACTGTAGCGGATTGGTGTGTGTGTGTACCTGTCTTGCCCTCAGAGTGAGGACCACCTTTCCAATTTCACCATCAAATTAAGGACCAGTTGTGGCAAAAGGAGGAAATTATGCCGTCCTCACATGCTACTTTTCTAATGGTTAGGTTTAGAGCTAAGGTGTCAATTGGTTAGGGTAAGGGTGAGGTATGCATTGGTAATGTGCAGGTTTAGGGTTAGTTTTAGGGTTAGGGCCTAGAGGGGTTAAAAATGACTGAAAATCAATGGAAGTCAATGGGAGTCAACACATGGTCTTCACTACAGAACGAGTATGTGTGTGGGTGTGTGTGTGTGTATACCTGCTTTCTGTAAAGAGGAACTCGAGGTGAGTCATGTAGACCTCCCACAGAGGGACGCTGTAACGCTTTGCTAGGGATAAAGCGATCCTGTACACATCGTCATCCAGTGTCCTAATCACAAACAAGAGCAATTATTGGATTTTATCCAGTTGAAGTGGATAGGTCAATAACATCTACTTTATTTCTTATGTGTTGCAGTAATTCCTTTAACTAAATCAAGCATACATCTTTGGACAAAGTACACGTCACAGCAGAGTAAAACTGGGAAAATCCCTCTATAGCAACAGACTTCCATCTTGGAAATTCATAAAAAAAGGAAAGGGGTTATTAAAATTTCACTGAAGTCACCAGCTTACTCTGTGAGGCCGAGGATGGTCTTTTTCTTGTACTCTAAGTCAGAGCTGAAGCGTTGCACATCAACTCCACGGCCAAGGCCCTGCAACACCTGAGCCTGAGTGAAGTCTGTCAAACGCTCATTGTACACATTCAGCTGGCTGATTAACTTCTGCAGCTCCTCAGGCCAGGCTGAATATGAGGAGACATGCTGCGTGACCAGTCGAATCAGCTCCTTTGGATCGGCCTGAGCAAAAAAGGAAAGGATTAAATTTTTTCTGGATAAAACGTGACAGAAGTTTCCCCTGTATGGACACTGAGAAACTTATTAAAGAAAGTGTTGAAGTTTATTCCTATGTGTATATTTTTTCAAAACTGCATAACCTAAAACATTTAACAAAATAGAAAAAAGAAAGTATTTCACAATTATGCAGTTACAATATAAGAATGATCTTTAAAGTTCCTATTTAAGATCTTTATTGTATTTTTACTCATTCTTTTCTGCCCTTGGCAAAGACCTTGGAAGAGCAGCATATTTACTAAGTGATGAAGGTTGAGAAAAAGAGCAGAAAAGTAATGTTTTCGAGGTTACAAGGTATCTACAGCAGCAATTGATCCAAAAATCTAAAAAATGTTCTGAAAATGAGAATTAAAGCACATAATATTCTCTCTACCTGTCCAAGCTGTCCAGCTATTACCCCAAACTTGATACCCTCAAAGATAATAAAACTTTGTTTATCTTTGGGTCTCTTCTTAGCATAAGTACATCTGTTTTGTGACTTACATCAACTAAAATATTATTTACACCAGAAACTCTCAATTTCAATAACATTTGATGGATAAAGGATCCACTGTTGAGGATAAGGTGGACTAAAAAAAGAGCAAAATGATGAGAAAAGAAGCTTTTCTCCATCAATAGGGGTAAGGAAGCAACATGCGAATCAAAGGTTGATAACTCATGCTTCCTAATGTCTGCTAAAGTGTTTTTCTGACCAGTTTGAAGCAAAGGTCTGGAGCTGTTGAATATTACGGGTGTTCAAACTGCTTATTTAGTGCTTTAATGACCAAAAACTACATCAAATATCAGGTAGTGGTTACAAATTTTGGGGAGAAATCAGTGTGTCTGCTGCACCTACAACAGTCATTATGTCCGGTGGCATTTCCATGGCCGTCTCATTTTTCTCCTCTTCATCTCCCTCTTTGCAGATCTTATAATAAAAGTATTAACACCTACTACTTGGTGTTATTCACGGCTGGACTGATTTCTCTGTTGGGTGTTTCTGAGATGGCACCAAATGATTAAGTCTGGTATATTTCTTTGTGCAGTTCGAAATGAGTTGCTGTAAAGATTTTATTATATCAAACAAGCACAGTGTGACATATGTTGAAGTTTAGCTCACCTTTTGGAAATCTTACAAAGCCTGCTCGGCTTCAGTGGATATAAAACTCATTCAAAAAGGATCAAAAATCAAAATACAAAACTGATTATTCAACAAATGTGCAATTAGAACCTCTTTAACAAATGCAAAAAAAATGCTAATCTGGTAATTTTTTTGTGTACAGTATTTGAAAATTTATTAAGTAGGATTTTAGCGTGTATGCCTAGTTATCTTTACATCTTTATCATTCACCGGTGCTTGCTTTTCAATCAAAATCCCGTATTAAGGAGGAGCAGAACATCATTACAGTCACGTTTGACAAAATTAACACTGACATTAAAAACTGACTTTAAGCAACACCACACATGGAGCCTGGAACACCCCATACTGTGAAGTTTTCTGGAGGTCTCAGCAAAACAAACTAATGAGGTTATTAAAACAAATACTGGCGATTTTCAGAAACTGGGGGAAACATGTAGGAATAGATGTACTTCTCTATAACATTGCTTGTGGAGACAGTTGTTCTTGCACAAGTTCAATCAAGTGAGCTAATTTGGAGTCTTTTCCTACATGTCAGGATATTATGGTGAGATGTACAATCATTTCTATGGAGATTCAGGCCTGTGGGGATATTACATATTAGACAGGTTTAAATTGACAGTGTAATACAGCAGGAGGGCTAGGTGAATACTATTCCTTTCTTCACCTCCATTCTAATTAAATGAGCTCCCAAATTTCAGTCGTTGGCATCTTATACCATGCTGCCCGGCAGGAGGAGATGGTTTATTTGTTGATCTTATTTGCATAAGGTAATTATAGCTGCTGGAAATGTGCAGCTGTGTGTCTGTGTACTTCCTGTTTCACACATTTAGTGTGTGTGTTTGAATATAAGCTTAGTGGCAAACTTGGTGGCAGAGTTGCAGTTCAAAAGGAGGACAGGAAAGGTTGTGAGAAGCAGAGTTACAAAGAAAAGAATCATAAAAGGGAAGTCAGTTCAGATAAGAAGTCAGGAGGAGGAAAAGTCAGAAGATGAGAGGGGGAGGAGCAGTCCAGGAGGAAGGGTAAGGACATGTGCAACAGGAGTGTAAAGATAAGGCTTTTTCAGTGGTGGGAACATATGAGACAGACCTATTAGAAGAAGGCTGCTTGTCTGTACTTTGGTTTAAAGTCCAAAGGAGAACTGGAGGATTTTTACAGTTGTTTAATTGAAAAACAGTATTTTGCAATTAAAAGAAATAAAAAGAAGCTAATACAAATGATAAATGTGGATATTAGAAAGCGGCTTAGACTGGATAAACCCTCATATGACAGGGACTAATATATATCTGGAATGGAAGATTATTGGGAAATTATAAGGAGATTATTAGTTGTATTTTAATGCTAAGAGTTTTCAATCTGTATTTCATGTTGTCTATCTCTTTTAGATGTCAGTTTACAAAACATAATTGAAGAGCTTTATACTTATTTGCGTAATGAATGACACGGTACAGGAGTCAAATTTATTCATTACACAGGGTACAATATAAACTGTTTTTTAAAAGTAGCCAGGGATCAGCAACTAATAGGCAGCAGCCTATTTTAAGTTTGTACATTTTTTCCAGACATAGTGTTTGTGATTGTGGGGGTATGATTGGTGTGGCAAGCATTCACAGCAACCCAAGAACATTGTCTAATCTAAATAGTGCCACAAAACATTGTGATAAGAATTTAAGGCCATATTGACCGGTAATAAATATATATATACACACACACACACAGCTATTACCGATGTTTATATTTTTATCTTTTTAATTTTATTTTTATCTTTATTATCTTATGTCGTTGGTTGTGTGTGTATATATATATATATATATATATATATATATATATATATATATATATATATATATATATATATATATATATATATATATATTTATAAAACTGTAACTGGAGCGTGTAACAAAAGTAATTTCCCTCTGGGATTATTAAATTATTTCTGATTCTGAATATTAGTAATAGCATAAATATACCATTAGAAGTAAATATTTTTAGTTACCGATTATATTAAACATTCTGAGTGTAGCATATTAAGACAAAGTTTAATGCCTGCATAAAAGCATAAAGAAATTGTACACAAATAAACTCTCCATTAGATTTTATCTGAGATATTATTTTATTATAACAGGCACCTAGTGATAAGGTACAAGTGGTCTGTTAGAAATAGTACGCTGTGAGTTCTCCTACAATTATAGAAAATGACAAAAAAGAGAAAAAACAGGAGAAGAAAGTCTGTCAAAACAGTGATGGACGGAGGGATGTTTGAAGTAGGTGACTGAAAAAAAGACTTTCATGATGAAATACCAAAATGCCTTTCTTTCTCTCTTCTCTGCCATTCACCCATTGCTCTGTTTGTGATCTGGATTACACTCGCTGCTCTCCTGAACACTATTTTCTGCGGCATTTCTAAAAAAATTCCTTATCCCCTCTCCCTCATTACCACAGAATCCCTAAAATCCCCCTTTCTTTACACTACATCCCTTTTCCCCTTCAAGTTACCTTCAAAGAAAAAAAAAAACAATAAAAGATTCTTTGCTTTTTTCCCTTTTTCCTCAACGTTTTTAAACAGATACGATTTAAAAATACCTTAAAGACTCAGATGTAAACCTTATGGAGCAGCATGCCAATACTGCTTGCAGGAATTTAATTAGCATAAGATCGGGTGTGATGTTGAATTGCTGTGATGCCAGCAGGATCCAACTCCCCTTTAGCTATTGCTAATGCCACAGGCTCTTTTCTTTGTGTTATTCTACTTGTGAAGGTGCTTAACAATTAATACATGTAAAAATAAAACCTTGTTTTCGGAACATTTGTATCTGCAGCTACATTTTCAACTTTGCTGATTATATTTCATTAAAGCAAAAAAAGCAGGGAATAGGTTGGCCTTATCAGTTTCAATTTTTTTAAGTAATGCTTAAAGATTATGAAACTAAAATAATGCAAGTGTGGTTAAAATACAAAACACAGTTTCAAAATAGGTATTTTTATAAAGTAGAAGCAAAAAAGAGAAAAAATTGGAGGGAATATAGCAGGGAACAGCGGCATCAAAAACAATCATTGAGAAAGGATTCATCACGGTTAGGACCTTTACTCAGTACTGGCAAGAAAAAATACTTTAGAGTAATGTTTGTTTGGATAAATTTTTAACTTAATTTCATCATCCTTTGAAAACCTGCTTTTTATTACTTTGGTAAATGCCTTTTTTATCACTGTGTATAACATTTTTTTAGCAACTCTTTGTGCTCTGTGGGTCAACAACGTTAGGACCTTGAAATAGTGACTGATGATGTGATTAAGCTTTAGAAAAGAGTCTACTAAAGAACAACAACAACAAAAACTAAACAGGAGGCAGCAAATCCAACAGGTAAAAGATGCAGCACATATAACTGGCATCACATGAAAAGCAAATCAAAGCAAAGCAAGAATCTAAAAAAACTAGAGATATAAAAGTAGGGCATGAAGGTTGGAAAGGTAGGGCCTTAAAGGTAGTGATTAGCAGTGATGCATCAAACCAAGAAAATATAAATGATCTAGTTCCTTTTTTGTTTGTTGGTTTAGGATGCTTTCTGTTTGCTCATGGGCTTTTTCTCCTGGTTTCCTACAGCGATAAAATACTAGCATATTTGGTAATCTGGCATAGCAGTGTTTGCCTAGATTGTCTGAAATCACAGTAGCCGTTTATTAGAAAGGTTTATTTTTTATCTCAGTCTAGACAAGACCAAATAAAACCATTTTTGCATTTAACGGGTTACATGAAAAGCTAAAGGAATTATCATATATAACTTTACAGTGCTCACAAAAGACCTGATGAAAGGTTCCACATAAGACT